GTTGCACCTGAGGAACTCACCTTTCTTCAACAACACTCACCCCGACTTTGTGATAGAGCTGGCGAATTCAGCGGTTGACCGGATTTTCATGCCGGGTGACCTTGTTGTGAACGAAGGCCTTTCTGGTGGAGCAATTTGACAGGTCAGTTGAGAGCAGAGAAGCTGTGGTTGGCAGGTGAAGTTGGGAATTCCATGTACATATTGTTGAATGGCAACGCGGATGTATACGCTGCTTCGTTGGCATTTTGACCGACGTGACTGACGTGCTTTTTATGATTCGGCTTCATGATGTTTCATAAGGTTCCCCTTTGACCAAGCAAGGTGAGTGACAAAAGCAAGGACAAGCAGGACAAAGCAGATACATCAAAGATGCTCGGCCAGGTGGGCACCGTATGGCGCTGTGGGCAGTGATTTCTTCTTTACCTCAGCTGTTTCTCGTTTTCAGACCGTCTGCATTTGGAGATGCTGTAGTGGATCTTAGAAGGAGCTCAGACCTCTTCCTTCACTGCGCGACATTCGCATCTTCTGGCACCCAAGGAAGAATGAGCCGAAGAAGATTAAACAGATGATTCGAGTGGGGCATTTGGCTCCAGGGGCAATTGCTGGTGAGTTGGCCATGCTGGGGATTTCGCAGACGAGATCTGATGCCTGGCTCAAAGTGGTCCCAAAATGATCTAAAATGAGGGGCGCCCAAAGAATAGGTTTCATCACATCTATTTAAATATTTATACTTATATAACTTAATCTATATGTTTCCTTTTCCAACTCAGATCAAGGCTTTCACACGCGTTTTGGTGCTCCCATGTCATGAAATTCTCCACGTCTCCAAGGCCAGCATTCAGGCCTCGACGCTCTGCGTTTTCTGGGAGGTCACCCAAGAGAGAGCGATGCTGATCTTGGATCATTTTCCTGAAGAGCGAGGGCCTCAGAAGTCGACCGCCCGACCGCGATGTTTGGGAGCCAAAATGCACTGCGCGTTCCAAGTATTCATCTCATCATGATTGGTCTATCACCCTAAGCATCCTAGGGGTCGAACCCTCTAAAACAGGGGTTTGTACCCTCAAACCCTTGTGTTTGAGGGTCCGGAAGGGCATTTTATATTCGTTCTTTGCACGTCGGGAGAACTTGGTCCGTTTCTTTCGCGAGGCGGCAGCTCTTCAGCACTGTCATCGTCCAGAACTTGGACTTGACCGTGCCAGGACGCATGATGAATTTGCCTCTGTTCAAGTCCTTTGACCGGAAGTTTCGCAATCTCCTGGGGCTCTACTGTGAGAGACACGCCTTCTTCCCGGACTATACGCCGACGCGAGAGGGTGAGACGGGAGACAAGCTTTGGATCATGAACTCAGGGCCAGTCATGCTGCAGAAAAAGGGTTTTCGTGTGAAGATGTATTTGCCTGGCATGCATTTTGGATGTGACAATATGCTGGGGCTCCTTGCCTGAGAAAGAGGGCAGGGGGCGCTTCTCCGCTGCCTGCAAATCCGACTGTAAGCAAGTAAAACGGCATACATATGGATACAGATACATATGGTGTAATTTATGTGGTGGGTAGTTTTCCCCCCAGGCTAGCACATCCCTTGTTCCCCCGTACCTTTTCCTTTTCTAAACCACTCCCAGAGCAGTTCATCCTGTTTTTCGGATAGGCCGAGCCGAACCGTTTTCCCCAGGAACGGTTTGCCGACGTAGCAACCAGAATTGATCGTTGAGGGAACCAGATGGCGCTCAGGCTTTCGAGGCAATACATGGGCACGCTGGTGGCCATGACCGTTTCCCATATCCTCTCACTCTCTCGTGCCACAGCCGACAAGTGAGGACCATGAGGAACGCAGACAATAGAGAGATCTAACATCAACATCATTGTTCTTGCGCTGTAGAAGCACGTCCTCCTTTTCCTGTGAGGTTCCTCCTATCTCCATGCACTGGAGCAGTATCCCTCCAAAGCAGCGCATCAGAAGCTGCTGAAAGCGCAGAAGCGCGAGGCCAACGAGTTGCGCGAGATGTTGGACCGGGTCGCGGTCCGGAAAGGCGAGGCCATCGGCTCTTCAAACGGGGACCTGGGCGAAAGGGGTGGACCTGGTCGTCTTCGATCGGATCGAATCCGCGAGGCGTTTGGCAACGCTATCAGGGAGAGTTGGCTGGGGCTTTGGGTCGCAGACTCAGTGCGGCTAAATGACTGAGTTTGGACAGAGTCTTGACTGGGTGCACCAATAGCTACGAGATGCTACGAGGCATGAACAACTTGCCAGACAATGAGCTCATTCGGCGGGTGGTGCAGGCGTCAGAGTGCGTGGGTGGCTTCGCAAGGGCTCCAGAGTAGTGATTGACCTGCCAGGGATGGCACGATCGCGTTCGAATAGTCCGCGAGAAGCGGCTGCAAGAAGGCATACGCCATGATGAGATGCTCAACAAATTGCAAGGCATGCGACCAGCCAGCCAACCAAGCAACTATATAAATCAACCATGCCAGACTTGAATCCTTTTTGGGATGTTGACTGCTAAATGCATTTTGTGTGTGTGTGTGTGTTTATTGTTTTAATGTTTGATTTGCAAGGGTCCTTTTTTCAACCCTGATGACTGCAGCGAAAAAGGCTTCAAGCAGAAGACAGCAGAAGGCAAGAAGCGGATCGAGCAAAAGTCCAAGCTGAAGGAGTTCTGAAGTGCTGCACCTCAAAAAGTTCCATGCCGATCTGAGTGCAAAAAGGGTGGGTAATCTGTCCTTTTTAGACTTAAATTTATCAGCAGCCTACATGTTGCCCCCAAAGGCCATCATGGTGGAACAGCTTCGGTCCATGCAGTTCGGGCGATCTTACTCGGCTTCCATGTCTCAAAGTCTCAAAGTGGATGAGTAGGGCTATCCAACAGTATCCAGGGAGCATCATCATCCCGTTGATTCCAGCCTTCACATGTCCGTCGCATCAGGCTCTCCGACCATTAAGCAGCCCCTCGGCATGCTCCGCCTTCTTTTGGGTTGACCTCGTGTGGCACTTTGGTCACCTCCAGGAGCTCATCAAGTGGAATATCACGGAGCGTGGGCCGCTCAAGTACTTGGAGGCCGAAAAAAGAAGAGAGAAGACAAATAGCAAAACACCCTGCCCCCACCTGGACTGATTCGACCCTCTTCATGTCCTTCTGTTTTGGCTTTCTGAGTGGAACCCTGTGAACTGTGACCGGTCCAGGAAGAGAAGAAGCCGGATCCTATACAACAGTCGCGAGTGCAGACGATTCAGGAGCGTTTTTTTGGATGCTCAGCTGTTGAAACGCAGGGGGAAGTGCTTGGTCACTAGGTCACCAGCGCCAAGGGCTCCCAAACTGTTGGTCGTTGGCAATCCGGACACTTATTTATTGAAGTAGGGAGGCTGGTGCAAGTTCAGAGGATAGGAGGGGAATGAAATGGATACCGAAGAACCATACATATTCCCAGGTTTGGTGGGTCGAAAGCCGACTGGCTCATCTGTTCATCGGCTCGGAACGGTGGTTTCCTGCGCCAGGATTGGCAGGAGGCTTCAGACCCGTGGGCCAATGAGACCAGCTGGCCGCGCTCGTCACAGAATCATGCAATGTTGAAGGAACCCGGGCGAAAGAAATTGATCCAACATGTTCGTGGATCCAAACCTTTGAAACTCAATTTGGGATGATCTCATCTAACTGTTGATGCTGCGCATTGATGCGTCTGTCACAGTTGTCACAGATGGATTAGGGCAATCCTTGTGTCCATATATCACATCTCCGTCAGTGCGGTGGTCGCGAAGGCACGGGTGGTCGCGGTGGTCGAATAGACTTCGAGCTTCGCACCGACTGGTCGCAGGACTGGCCGCAGCCAAGACCCTCACCAAACTACCGCCTGCATGTGTGGGACATCGTGAGGTGAGGGCATACGGATCGAGTGCACTTTCACCATTGTTCACCCCCGTCCACAGCAAGCCCACCCTGTTGGCGCATTCGCCTTTGAGCTCTTGCGAGGCAAGAGCTGCGCTCACAAGAATGCGGCACCCCGAGCAAGATGCTGCCATTGTTGGGCACGAAGGGCAAGAGGCACGTAGAAAACCAGGTTCTGAGGCTACGGGAAGCACTGAATTCCAAGCTCTCATGTCGCTTGCAGGGATGAAAGCCCTGACAGCCAGAAAGGTCTGGATGTTTCAGAGACTTGTCCAATCAGCCCATGGCTCCAGACTGGTCCTTTTCCTGCTAGGTCCCATTGCTTCAGGCCCAGTTCTCAGGCTTCTCAGCTATTTCACTCAGCGTGTTCGCACGCGCCGTGCGCCGAGGCCGGAGGAGGTCGGCTGCAGCTCAAAAGTTCCGCACTGGGGTGAAAGCAGTTCTCTTGAAACTTGGTTGAATTCTTGAAGCACTGCTCCTTCCCTTACTGAAGGAGCATTCTCCAAGTGCATGTGCTGAGGACCCGTTTGCTGAGTTCAAGGCTTGCTTTGGAATCCTTCTCGCTCACGTCGGAACTGGAGACCATGTCTTCTGATTTCTGGGAATCCCATGCTCACGTTCAGAAACCCTGCTGAAACCCTGCTCGAGGCCAGTGTCTGAATTCTCTGACGTGACCGCCTCAACTGGGACGAAGAGCCTTGCTGCCACGATGTAGGCGATTTTCAGGGACCATCTTCACTCAATTTGCTCGGCCTCGCGAACACGGCCAGGACGACGCGAGTGACACAATGATCACCCGGTGAACATGCGTTCAACGGTGCGTTCCACGGGTATATCAGAATCATTCAGAATTGCCGGTTTCGGCGCCGGGTATTTGTGTTAATGACCCTGCCAGCATCTTGGTTCTGAGCAAAGCTCAGCAACCTTTTCGCTGGCATCGGCGTAAGATGCGCACGCGCAGAATGCCACCATGAACAGGAAGCTGGCCTTGGGGGCATGCAGGTGCTTGAAGTGGACCACTTGGTTCCTGCAGGAAAATTGAGCTCCAGCGTGCGCACTGCAATGCAATCCTCCTCGTCGTCCCCTCCACCTGGGTGCTAGATGTCCTCAAAGCTTCAGTGAGGTGCTGATGATGGAGGATTTAAAATCTGGGACACCAGGCACGTAGCTGCAGGCAGGAGAGCGAGAGCGAGCGAAAGAGACACACGCACACATACATACACCGAGAGATGTGGTGATGATAAAACTCTTATACTGTAACTTGTAAATTGAAGTTTGAAAAGTGCTTTATAAAGGCATGTGCATCAACTATATTGCACAACAACGTTTTGACCAAAACATAGGGTGAAAGAAGCTCCGCACCGAAGTCCGCCCCAGCTTCACTTCACGGTGTTCGAAATGGGGTAGAAATCGCCAAGTCGAGTCTCGGCAGCTGATGGTCGCTTTCAGGGCCGATGGCCAACTTCCTTTGGCATCGACAACCGGTCACCTCGGTGGACTGGCTCCTTGGCCACAGGGACGAATGCAGAAGACGAAACGAACGCAGAAGAGCTATCGGGGGAGCGCCGTTTCGTGTTTTCTGAATCGGTTGAAGTTCGGACATTTCAGCCGCCAAATGTCGTGTAAACTGTGTTTCCAGCAGGTTTTTTCAATTTGTCCTTGTACATGTTTGTGCCTTCGGAAAATCATACCCGGCATACCCCTTCACTGCCCCTTCACTTAACTTATGAGACACAAAGCCTTTTCGAGGCATCCCAGTGATGAAACGGTCTTGGCGGTGGCTTCAGCTGATGCATCTGGTCCGAAGAACTCGGAAAGTCAAAGCGAAAAAATGACTGAGTCAGAGTGGAGTTCATGTTTTAGTCAGTATCAAACACATCCGTTTTGCTGCGGTTTGGGGAGCCCGATTTGACTCGGCCGATTCATCTCGAACTTCTGTCTGAGGATTCCGTCTCATTGTGGGACATGGCTGTTGAGGCACGCATGCCGCCTCGATCCGTCACTGCTGGACTCCTGTGCTGGACCTGCCATTCCCAAACTGTCCAGTCGGTATGCAATTGGAGTTCGCATGCTGCCCTGTCGGATTGATGCTCAGACTGCTCAGATGTGCAGAAGCAGCACAATTAATATACACGTTAATGTTTGTGAAGTGCAATGATACGCAGACACATCTCCCAGCAGATCTCAAACATACCGCCTTAAGCGAGGAGACGAACGCATGAAGGCCGTGCACTTTTGTTTCCAGAGGGGGACAGGTGGTGCCTGAGGGGTGCCCAGCCATGGAGAAGTCCTTGGCCTTGGTTGCGGCACATCCGGAATTCAAACATGCCATCATGTCCGTTTGGAAGCCTCAAGGCATTGGGAACGACCCCCCAAGCCTAACCACCAAGGAGGTGAGCATCCACATTCCAGGATCTGATGAAGTCCTAACGCTGCCAGTCTACACCAATACCAAAGTCATCGAGGTGAAGTGTTTGCTTGAAGACCGGTTGTCGGTGAACCAAAGCGACTTGAGGCTGGTGTACAAGCAAGGCCCCAACTATCGTGTCCATAACGACAATGATGAAATCGCGCGGAAAGTGGTGATTCATGGCATCAAGTCCTTCAAGAGGGTGTCTCAGAAGTATGACTTCCCACATGTGATCATCGGAGCGGGGCATATTGGCTTGAAACTGGCGATGACTTGGCTCATGGACAACTTCACGAACTTTGTTCTTTTTGATCGCAATGACCGGGTGGGAGGCACTTCTTGGATCGACCAAGCCAATTCCACCTCTCGGCTCCAAACCGAAGTTGGAGTGTACCATTTGGAGTATCTTGCTAATGGTTTTCACAAAGCTTTATAAATGCCTTTGAGCAATTATGAGCCTTATGATCTCGCCAAGCAGAGCTTCTTCCCAACAGGGTTCCTAGCAGCTGAAATCGACCCCTCTTGCTCTTAGAGCTGCACATCCTTGGAAAGGGAAAGCAAAGAACACACACACACACGATATATGATGATATATGTACAATTATGCTAGTAGCTAGTATGAACTATATATAAATGTACGCAAATGTATTGTTTCAAGGATAGTGGCGTGCAAAGAGAACGCCGCAATGAATGGTCTCAGGTATCATGAGAACAATGGTTGGCCGTCGTGGGCCTTTGACAACCCGTGGCCATCGCGCGACAAGCTGCTGGAGCACTTTCACGAGGTCTCAGAACAGTTCGGAATTCTGCCCTACTGCCGCATGCAAACCAACGTCAGGAGTTTGAAGCTTGGCGTGACGGTTTGCAAACTCTGTGTGACAATGGCACGGTGAAAACATGTCACGTGTGGTTTCTCTGAACGTTCCTGGAGCCGACCGGCAGTGCATCCGCAGATTTGGGGTGATGGGTCATTGTTGACAACCTGGTAACGGCACGTAGGAACCCTCAATGCCCTGCCTAGGCCTCCACCACAGAACTCGACGATTTACACAAATCCACCCCAAACGAGCCTGAATAGATTAGACTATATATATGTCAACTGCTGAAAGTGAGTGAAATTGCAGGCCGCCGGAATTTGCCACCGGCTCAAAAAGGTGGCTTCGCGCGGCGCGCTGGATGGCATCTTGAGCTCGCTGCCGGCGGGTCCCTCCTGCAGGCGGCGACGCGTGGTGCCTGGCTTGCAGTGCCTGGGAGGCCCTAGGACACGAGCTCTCCTTTGGTTGGGGGCGGGCACCAAGGCCTTCGGGCTGTGGCCACCGATTTGGTGGTCTCTACGGTACGCCAAGTGCGTGCCTTGTGTGTGACCCGAGGGGTCGGCCCGGGCACACCCGCCGCTGGGAGAGCGGCTGCCTCAGGGGGTGCTGGTCTTCGCGAGGCCGAGCACCCCGACAAGGCTTCAGCTGGGGCTGAACCCCGTGCTGAAGCTGAGAAGGGCCCCCCCCCCCCGGGCAGCAAGCCAGGCGAGAGAGGAACCACCTCGTGCCGTGGCTGCGAAGCCGGCTGAGAAGGAATCCTCCTCCGACGAAGAGGAGGGTGAGGAGTCGGACGCCACATCGGAGAAGACTATTTTACCGCCTTCCCAAGTCGGCTCGACCGGTTGAACGTGAAGGTACCTCCGTGAAGGCTGAGGAGAACCCGGACTACGAGCCCGAGGCGGGTGCTGGCGATAACGCCGAGCATAAGCCTCGTGGGGAAGGGCGGAAACGCCACCATCGTTCCTCTCACCAGGACAAACACTCCGAGTCCGGCAAGAAGTACAAGAAGCGGAAGAACAGGAATCCGCAGCATAGGGCAGGCCGCAAACATAAGCGGCTGTACCGGGCAGAAAGGGACCCACACATTAAGTTGCATAGGAGTTTGGACGATTCGCACTTCCGATTCGATTCAACAGCTTCGAGGGAGTCGGCAATTGCCGGCGTCCCCCCGAGGCCAAGGAAATGACAGCAGAAGCCGAGGTCGATCTGGAGGCCCTGGGAGGAGCAGGGCCCCACGGTCTGTTTGATGTGAACGGTACAGCACGATGGAACACATTGACACCCGTGGTTGGGGACATTGTGACAAGTATGATACCAGGGGAGCTGGTAGAAGAAGAAGGAGTGGAAGGTATTTGGTTGGTCACCGGCTTCGAGTTGGCGGCCGGCGGAAGTAAGATGTTGCGGGTGAAGTCGGTTGGATCGTCTTCACCCCCCTTATTGGGCGTGCTATCAAGTCTTTTCAATCGCAAAGAAGGGAGGCTCCACATTTGTGCTGGGCCAGGAGCTTGCCACGAGGAGGGCGCTGTTTTCCACGTGCGCCGTCTGGAGGTTTGGAGAGGTTCCGAATTTCCGGCCCAGCGCCTTTCTCCAGGAGGAAAGAAGATTATCAGGCATTTGCCAGAGGAGAAGCATTGGAGGTCGAGGAGGACGAGCCGCTGGTGGCAGCCGAGCGGCCTTCTGCCCCCAAAGCAAAAAGCGCCGCAGCCTCCTCCGAAGGAGGCCAAGAGAGGGAAAGGGCCAGGTGACGATCAACGCAAGATCATCTCGGCCTGGTCAGACGACAACGCCAGAAAGTCGGCGGCTGGGCTACCCGGGCCTGTCGCTCTTCGAGCCCAGTTGGAGAGAGTGAGGCAGGAGCAACTACGCTCGGAAGTTGGGCAGGCGGAGCCTCAAGATGGAGGCGCCTTGGAGTTAGAGGGGGGAACAGGTGTGTTCCCTGCTCTGGACGGCTTGTCAACATCGACGAAGTTCACCTCAAGCTGCTGGTCCGAACCGTGCAGCAGTGGACGAGGTGGAGCAAAACGGAGGTACTATGACACCCTGGACGACATCGAGCAAGGAGAAAGAGAAGGAGGACCATTGGTCTGGCCGACAAGGCTGGAAGGGGAATCCTTGGCAGAAGGATCGGACCAAAGACAAGAACAAAGGAAAAGGCGATCAGAAGAAGGGGACCGCCCACGAGAAGTCAAAGGTCGTGTACACGAGCCATCCAGTTTGAAGTGGTGGCAGGCTCTTCTCAATCTGGCTGGAGATTTCTCCGGGCTGGGAGTAGGGCTGTGTTTTTGCCTTTTTGAGAGAGGGGAGACGCTAGATGCCGAACTCCTTCGACAGCTTTCCGCCGAAATGGCGCTGAAAAAGGTGAGCCAGCATCCACGAGTGAAACGCTCTAAAAATAATGTGTTTCCTCTCCCTCAGTTTTGGAGTTTGAACTTTTCGGAATTCGACTCGTGTGGAGGTCTGGAAGAAGTCTTAAATAATAAGCCTTTTGTTGCACGTTTTGCGGTCCCTTGCTGGTGCTCTTTGGCCACCCTCTTTTGTAATGACTTGGCTAATGAAGGTTTCAAATTTGGTTCAGGTGAACCTTTGGCCCCGCAGCGCGATCTGTTGATGGCCATTCAAAAGTCCGTGGAGCGAATTGTGAATGACGATGTGTGTGTCGACTGGTCTTTGTCTGACGTGCTGTCTGACTTTGAACGAAGAACAGTCTCGTACTCTGGTGAGGAGGTGTGTAAGGCTGAGCCTCTAGATTTGGAAAGATTGCTTCCTGGTCTTCCCCCTGAGGGTCACGGGGGGTCCATTGACACTTTGGCTTGGGTCGGAGGCAGGACCAAATTCTTGTTGGAACATCCTGAAAAGTGCGTGGTGCCAGACGTTGGCCAAGTGCTCCCTAAGTTGCAGGGAAAGGTGCATGTGGAAGAAGGACAGCGGAGGCTGATTGCCGATGAACTGGTGCGTAGGGGGATCTGCTGCTGGATTCCGGGGCACGAAGTCTTCGAGTTCCGGAATCAGAAAGTCTTGAGTGGACTGTTTGGCGTGCCCAAGCCTAAGCTGCTCCCGTCAGGTAAAAGCGTGCTTAGGTTAATTATGAATCTCGCGCCCGCAAACGCAATCCTCAGAACTATTCCCGGAAAAGTCGACAAGCTGCCCAGTATGACGCAATGGCTGAATGTAGTCATTGAGGAGGGTGAAACGCTGAGAGTAGGCCAATCTGATATGGCGTGTGCCTTCTACCTATTTTGCTTACCCCCACAGTGGAGTCGCATTTTGGCCTTCAACCTACACTTCACCTCGTCTGAGCTAGGTTTTGGTAACAACCAAGACGCATGGTATTTGGCATGCCGAGTCCTTCCCATGGGCTGGAGTTCAGCCGTGGGAATAACGCAGGACCTTGCGGAGTCAGTCCTACTAAAAGGGGGATTTGACGGATTTGACCCTTATTCTCAGATTGCGAAGACTTCACCGCTTCCTCCTTGGGTACTTTCAAGTGCCGCTGGCAGTGGTCGCCAGGGGAAACCTTGGTGGCATGTGTATTTAGACAACTTTGCGGCTGGAGCAAAAGTCACCCAGCAAGAACCCACTGAGCTCATTGAGATGCAGAAGCTAGCGGAACATTTGTGGGAGGAAGCAGGGATTGTTGTCTCGGAAGGTAAGTCGGTTGTTGCAGCGACCTCAGGGGTGGAACTAGGCGCGTTCCTAGGCGGCAAGGGCTAGTGGATTGGAGCAGCCCCCGAACGACTCATTAAGGTTTGCAAAAGTATTTTGTGGCTTTGTGGACAAGAGAATCCCTCGAAGAAGAAGCTACATATTGTGATGGGTCGCTTGTGCTTTATTTTACAGTTCAGAAGGCCGGCAATGTCGCATTTTGAAGTGGTGTGGGATTGGATTGCCGATAAGTGCCACGGCCGGCGGGCAGCAAATAGTGTCAAGAGGGAATTGTTGGTAGGAATCTGTGGCTTTCCTTTGTTCCACACTTGGTTAGGCTGCCGAGTGGACCATGAAATCACGTGCAGTGATGCCAGTATGAGTGGAGGAGCCGTTGCTGTGGCTAAGACACTATCTGCGGAAGGAACTGGGTTTGTTTGGTCACAAGAGCCTTCCCGACTTGCTATTGACGTTCCAGTGGTGCTGGTGACATTATTCAATGGCATAGGTGGCGCCATTAGGTGCTATGATGTAGCCGGGGTGCGGTTGCAGGGCATTTTGGCCTGTGACGTTCACAGGCCTGCAAACCGGGTGACAGCAAGACGTTGGCCGCAAACCGTGTTTTGTGAGGACATCAGAGATCTACGAGGTGACACCCTCCGGGACCACCTAGAAAGTTTTGGAAACTTTCTGGAAGTCCATATGTGGGCTGGATTTCCTTGTGTTGATGTGAGCAGTGTCCGAGCCCAGCCTCATTCACGAGGCCATCAGGGTGTTTGAAGAAGTGAAGGCCTTGTGTCCTGATGTTCGGACTGAATTTATTGTGGAAAATGTGGCAAGTATGGATGTTGACGTGAGGGATGAGATCAGTCGTCTGTTGCAAGTGATACCATATCGGCTGAACCCGGTCAACCAGGTGCCAAACTCCAGACCACGGTTTTGCTGGACCTCAGTGACTTTGCCCCGGCATCCCACAATGCTGCTTCAGAGGAGGAATGGTTATATAAACGTGGAAATTGACGGTCAGTGGCCCGAGCCTTCTCAGTGGCTGAGCCCAGGCTGGGAACAGGCTGATCCGAGCGCAATTTATCCTACATTCATGAAGGCCATTGTGAGGACAAGAGCGCCACCGATGCCCGCTGGCCTAGCTCGGGCGGACAGCTCTTGCAGGAGCCGCTGGGAGAGCCATTCCTTTAGGTACCCTCCTTACCAATATCGTAGTGAGTTCCTAGTTTTTCATCCAGACGAAGAGTCTGGGAGGCTGCTCAATGCTGACGAGCGCGAACTTCTTATGGGCTACGGCAAAGGCCATACGTTGATGTGTGCCTCAGCGTCCAACGCCAAGGCAAACCTACAGGCCTATGAGGATGAGAGGTGCAGCCTGGTAGGCGACAGCTTCTCCATTTGGTCTTTTTGTCTGTTTTCGGCAGCTGCGGTCCCGAGGTGTTGTTTGCGCGGATGGGGCTTCCACCAGGCAGTTCTCTCCGTCTCCCATATACGTGTCCGTTACAGTGGGGCCAAGACTTTCCTCATCAAGGACCACAGCAGACAGTGGCCGATTTGAACAGAATTTTAGGTAGCAAGGCTAGGCATACTGGAAGTGACGTGCGTATTTCAACAGGACAGATTCTTAACCCAAGGACCTATCCGCGTCAGAGCGTGGAGAGCCTTTGGTGGGAATGGGAACAAGTGTTTAAAGTCCGTTGGAACCTCATCGAGCACATAAATGCACTTGAGATCAGAGCAATCTGGCTGACCCTATTGTGGAAAACTATGAAGCGCTCTTTTACAAATCGTCGGCTATTTCATCTTAGCGACAGTTACGTGGCATTGTCCATCCTTAGTAAAGGCAGAACTGGTAGTCACAAACTACAGTACATCTGTAGGAAGATTGCAGCTCTCCTCGTAGCCGGGCAGTGTCAGTTGCTGCTGGCGCATGTGGACAGTTTTGATAACCCCACGGATGAAGCGAGTAGATCCTGAATTTTTGCGGAGGTCAAGGCAGAGGAGGCGCAAAGGGCTGACATTGCAAGGCTGGGCGATTACTTTAAAGACTCGAATTCGTTTTTTTTCACCGCGGTTTCACTGGTTCTCCCGTTCCTTGAAGCGACCATGCCATGGATATTCATGATTTCCTCGTCGATTGGATCGACGGGGGCGCCAGCATCTCTGGCATAGCTGACGCATTGTCGGGGCTGCATCACTACCTCCCCTGGTCCAGCTTTATGGCTTATGGCGAAACCTGGAGCGGCCGAGACAAGCGCCCCCGCTCCCCATTGAAATAGTAGAAGGCCTAGTCTCCAGACGCGTTCGCCTCGAACGACTTAGGCTGGCCCTGCGCCTGTGCCTGGTTTTTTTGGGGTTTGTTCCGGACCGGGGAACTCTTCATTCTAACTTCATCTCAGGCACCTGCTCATCAGCAAACAAACTATGGTCATTCAGTTGGGAGACACCAAAACAAGCAGTCGACGACTAGTTGATGCGCATGTCGTTGTAAGGCGCCCGCCTACCCCTTTAATGGCGGAAACCGTCTTGGCGCTGGCGTCCAAACTACGGCCGCATCCGGCACGTGAATTCAAAGCGAGTTTCCTACAATTATGCAATTTCTTTCAACTACCGGTCTCTTTCAGACCGTATTCTCTCAGGCGCGGTGGAGCGGCGGAGACCTTTCTTTGGCGCGGCGCCATGATAAAGTCGATGCTTCGAGGCCCATGGGGCCGCACACCCGTGCTCCCTAAATCTCCCTCACCCGCCACACCCGATCACAACCTCTAGACCCATCATGGCCCTCTCTGAGGTCCAGTACAGGGGTCGTGGAAAGCCCTTTGGCTGATCAATTGTTCGTGCCATTGACCAGAAAACGTAAGGCTTGCCACTAGCCTACCAGCTTGCCATTAGCTGGAAAAGGGCCCCTTTGAGGCCAAGACATGACCCGACAGAGGTCCATTTGTCTGACCCTTTTGAGGTCTTCGCCCGACAGAGGCACACAGAGCCATAGGCCTTTTGGGCTGGCTATACTAAATTACAGGGTGATTGAGACAGAGATCTCATTCACGAAAACCTTCAGGAATGCTGGCAAAAGAAGGGCAGAGTGCAATATATTTAATATACTATATATATATATAGACTTTAATCATGCGGCCCAAACACTCCAGTGTGAAGGTTTCATCATGCATTTCATTGAATCCCCGCAACGTTTCCATCACCAATGGTCTTGACACGAGTCCCATATGGCCCTACTTTATCTCCCTGATGGCCATCCTTATTCCTTCGTCCCGATGCTCTGTCATGCGGCACCGGACCAGACACGCTCAGGAATGTGATTGGCAGGGATTATTGGAATCAGTCGTACGAGCTGACGGTGAAGACCAAGGGCAAGGAAGAGCAGGTGGTCCAGGCAGCCTCCGTGGCCTTCTTCCCCGGCAATCTGACGAATCCGAAGCGGGTGACCTACCCTGGTGAGGATACCTTTGAAGGTGACATTGTCTATGGCATCAGTAGTCAGTTTGATTATGCCAAGGTCAAAGGCAAGACCGTGATGATTGTGGGAAGTGGTGCCTTCGCGGTCGAAAATGTACGAACTTGTGTGGAATTTGCCGCACAGAAAGTCTACATGGTCTGCAGGCGGAAAACCATTTCCATGCCCCGGCTGGTGTCATGGCTCATCAATCAGTCCTCCGACTCCGTTTCAGCTAAGCTGACTTTAGAGTCCATGGCACCCATGTATGATCTCATTGGGGTAGACCAATGGTCCTACTATGCGGTACAAGCGAATGAGACCCGAACGAATGTGACCATCAAGCAAAAGTCGCGCTTTGGCATCGGCGATGTCTACTTCTTAGGGGTGGCGTGCGGTTTTTGTGAGCACATTGTGGACGACACCAAGAGGGTGAGCAACAGTACTGTGCACTTGGTCAGTGGTCGAAAGCTGGAGAATGTCTCGCATATTCTCAAGCTCTTAGGTTTCAACGGTGAATTTGACAATGATCGTCTCTTGAAGCTCAAGGAGCTTTATGGCTGGTGGGTCAACAAGGACTATCGCCGTTACATCGTGGCCGAGCCCATCTATGTGGATGCGAACAACTTTGGATCGACCAGCTTTTCACCGGGAGCCATTTGTTGGGCTGAGCAACAGGCTCATATTTTGAAATACCCCAGTGACTGGGCCACAGTCATGGATAGCAACATGCTGCCTAAACATGAGGCCGAGGAGGAGATCAGTCGTCCAGCCTATGTGGTGGAGGCGCGGCATGGGGCGCTCACGGGCATCACCTTGGGTTCACTGGTTCGAGGCATTTCGGAACGGGGAGCAGTTTGGGGTCCTCTGAAGCGATTGCGGCAGCGAGAGATTCATCCTCCAGAGAAGATTCTTGAGTGCGCGAAGCGCGAGTGGGAGGAATGGCGCACCACACTCAAAGAGCTTGGATATGAGAAGACGGCAGAATACCCCTACACCATCGAAAGTCTCAATCAATACTGTGAGGACGAGGTCGAGGAGTTCACCAAGAAGTTTGGCAGGTTTTATCAAAACTGATCACTGAAGTGAATCTTCCAAGCCGCCTCGCGTGAAAAGCCGCGCCTGACACCTTGAACAGCCAGTCTTTCTGAATGATATGCAAATCGCCATGAGCCTTCCACCAATTTGCAGGTTCAAACCAAACGTTAGATTCTTCCTTAAGTTTCGATTGCTTCCCGAGCAGTTTGCACGGGTCCCACGGGGTCCCCAGATATGTCCCGGCAGTCGGCCGAGAGGATGATGCGCCCGGTCGCGAAGTGCCACCTGGGGCTGACCACTTTCCACCGCAGCTGCTCTTCTTACATCAGGTCGTGCCCAGGGCGGTCGTCTGTCGTTGGTGTCGTTTCACAACAAGTGAGAGAGAGAGAGTGTTTGCGAGTTTTGATGAACACATGGTGTTTCTTGTTTTTTGATACAAACGCAATCAGGCAGCAAGCGACTTCAAGAATCGCGCCATGTTAGTCTTTTCATGTCTTTTCATTGCTTTGCTAGGTGGGAAGCCTGGTAGAGGGCAATTTCACCAGAGCATGTGTTAGATTTGGCATGGGATCTGGCATGGTTTCGTGGTCTTGGTGGAACTTCTAAACCCCCAAGCATGCACTAACAAGAAGCTACTAGAGGCTCCTGGCTTCGCTGCTAGGAGAAAGGACGCTACTAGGGGCTCCTGGCAGGACTACGAACGGAGCAAGAAGCTATTAGATCACCGGCACCGGAGAACACCGCTCGCAGGGACAGAAAGAGCCCAAGGAGCTGCGGACGTGGCCTCAGTCGACGGGCCGGGCCCGGAGCGCCACACGGGGCGCTGACGATGGGAGCGGGCTCGACCGGAGCGCCACACGAGCCTTGCGTTCCCCCCCAGAGGGTTTGGATGCCACCTCCCCAGACCACTTGAGACCAGTTCGCAGGCAATTTCTTTGTGACATGGGGGGGGGTGGGGCGGCGCACCAATTCAAAGGTGGCATCCTCAACTCTCCAGTGTGTGCATCGTGACAGCTGCAAGTGGCTTTGGCTGAAGAGACTTTGTGGTTGCACTTGTGCTCAGTCTGATGTGGCCAACTTTCTGATTTGGCCAAGTCTTCCGGCTTAGGTGGCTTTAATATTTTCAAGACTTGCCTTTCAGCTGCAATGTGGTCGGAGCTTGCTGTCAGAATGTGGTCGGATGTGTGCTTTGCGCAAGGCAACATTTAGATGTTTGGATCCTGCGCTGAGTTGGGCCGTGAACTAATCTTGCATCAAGTGTGTGCATAGAAAAGCAATCAAATGGTTGGGAAGGCAGGATCCTGGGAACAATCCATGAATTTCAGTTCAAAACTGCAACTTGGCAACTTTCGGCAACTTGAAGGAAGTCTAGCAGTCTAATGAGTACGAGAGATGCTACAAATTCTATAATTGACTTGTCATTGACAAGTCATTGAGTTCGTGGAACCTATTTAAGTGAAAAGGGCGCAATTTGTTTTCTCTCTTGTTTTTGTCAAAGACTTTGCACACACTTGGCAAACTCTTGTTCATAAACCGGTGGGCACTCAGTCTGAGTTCGTTTGGTTGAAGTGCTGGCTTTGTGGTCCGCAAAAGGACAGTGCGATGCGATGCTGAGGCTGTTGCTTGAATCCATCCTTGCACCGTTCTGATTTGTTTGCTTCACGTCTTTCAGGTGCCGTAGTCTACGATGTTTCTGAGGTAGACCGTCTGATCCGAAAAGGGGTGGACACCAACTGCCACCCAAACGGGGCATTCTGATGGGCGACGTTTGTAGAGTTTTCTTCCCAACAGCTCGGGCTTGGGGATGGTGCAGAGACTCGTCTCCGAGAGCCCAAAACGCAAACGTGGAACGGGAACAGGTGGAACCGTGGAATGCTGGACAAACGTGGTTGTTTTGGACGGAACTCTGGCATATGATGCATATGGCAGATTCCAAAAGATTGGAACTAGAACCCTGGATCGCTGCTGTAGCAGCAGCAATGTGTTTTCTCTGTGATTTTCAATGTCAGCTGCCATGGTTCTGTTAGTTATGTTTGGTGTTACTTTCCAATAAAGGGCGGGGGGGGTGGGGCGGAGCAAAAATACAGTGAGCGGAGACAACACCGACCACATTTGAAAAGCAGAGTAAACCAAATAACGTCACCATGGAACAGGATCTGCAAGGATTGAGAAGCAGGGGCTGAAGAGAGCTGACTAGAGCAACCAAGACTGCTGAGAAGGGATTCGAGAACACAGTTGCCAAGCAAAACATTTTTTAGAAGCTGGAGCTGGAGCAGGGAGTGGGGGCTGGAGAAAAGGAACTGGGGAGCAAAATTTCAAACATGAATCAGCTTTGCAAAACAATAAAGAGCCGAGAGCAAAACGAACAATTGCAGTGAGCAAAACAAATCAGTAGTCAGTTCCACTCGTTTTTCCTCACCATGTTTGCCCTAATGAGCCCTTCACGCTCTGAAGATTTGCCGCCTTTCTGTAGCGATTTCCCCCGGAAACAAAACGACCTATAATTTGTATTTGCTCGAAACCTGTGGAGAGCAGGTCATTTGTCATCACGGACTGATGTTTGTGGCTTTTTGGACTTGAATGGACTTGATTGGAAGAAACTAAGGTTGTATCCATCCTGTGTGTTTTTGGAGTCTACTTGGAACGAACAACTTTGAACCGCCACCTGCGAGTGCATGATGGGCCGCTGCTTCCAACCTTTGGCTCGAAAGGGGAGGGCTGAGTGCCCGAGGCCCCCGTGTCCCAGCTGCACTCGCCAAGGGCGGCATTTTTGGATTTCTGGCCTTTGCAATTATGCAAATCATTTCCAATGAATAGGCATAATATCAATATAGTTTAACTATACGGAGTTTTTTTTTTTTTCTGGCCTCTTAAGGAGCTTTTGGATGTTCACGAGTGAACTCCACTTTCCCATCTTGTGGGTAAGTCCATACAAATCCCGACTGCGCAACTGCGAGGTCAACTGCGGAATGGCAGGGGCTGCCGCTGCTGTGGGAGTCTCAGAACACGCAGAGATCTGATGGAGCAACGCTTGGTGAATTATGACCTTCAAGGTTCATCATGTGACGACAACAAAGGCTGCGGGGCGCGTCGCGCACGAAAAATAAAGGGTTGAAGATTTGCAAAATTCCACTTGATGCGACTGGAATGTCCAAATCCCTGAAGAAGCAGGGAAAGAGGGGCAAAGGAGATCAAAGGAGAGAAATCACAATTCTGCCGTCATATCCTCTTCATTCGTTGAGTCCGAAGGCATTTTATGTGGCGGAAGAAAAACAACGCCGTGAACGTTCGACCTAGCGGCGAAAAGACCTCGCCAGGACGTCTCCAAAACTGCTCTGACCTTGGGAAAATCGGACGATCGACCATCGATCGCCCACCGATCGATCCCCACACCAACTGCCCCGGGCCTTATATAAATTGGTCCGGGCCACGAGTGCTACAATCCTGGTAGTAGGACTTCATAGGAAAAGTGGTGAAGGAACACCTGTTGGAGAAGTCTCCCAAGACGGGCACCAATTCTGGAAGGACAGCATCAATGGAGGTAAACTGGACGAAAACAGCACCGAGGAGAAAGACCTTGACTGTAGTTTGAAATCATTTTGACATCTGCGGCCAAGCTCAAGGCTTGCGCAGTTGAAAGTCAGTTGAATCTAATTGAACCCTTTGACCTCCTTTTTCTTTACGTTGATGGGATCCTTGGCCGGTCGACAGCCTTGATGTACTCTTGAATGGATGAACCTTTCAAAACGACGAGACGCTGGGCAGTCTGACTCAGGTGACTCCAGATCCCAAAGGGACTGCGGAGCAAGTTGAGGACCGTTCGGCGTCGCGAAGCGTCGCGTCGCGTCGGGTGCTGTGGGCCATGAAGCTGTGAAGTTGACCTGCACCGCTGTTGCCACCTGTTGGATGATTCATGTGGAGTCATCTTACCATAGCGTGGTGTTTTGATACATCCTGGGTGGCATTGTACCGTGAACTCTCCTTCAGCCGATCTTTCGTGAGGATGCGGTGAAGCCGATCAAATCCGTAGACAAAATAGGCGCCTGATTTGCGACGGATCCGCGCTGCTGGACATCGCTGAAACTCAGCCGAAAGACTCGAGAAATCGAACGATGTTGAGATTCCATCGAATCCACAGCCGCAGTGGTCTATCATGGTCTATCTCTATCCCTTTGAAAGCTCGCAGAGCGGATTCCGGGATTCGAAGCGCCTCTTCGCCCAGTTCTCGAAACCAGAGCCAGGCAGTGCCAAGGTGCCATGTCTTTCGCCAGGCAGTGAGAAATCAGTGACATCTCCTGTTTCCTCAAATAGCAGCATCTTGGCGTGAGCATCACGGATGGTCTTTCTTCGAAGCACAGCGAGTTCTTGAAGATCTATGATACTCATGGCGACCCTTCAACATCTGCAAAGTTTTTGGAGCTTTGCAACTCCAATGGTACCTGTATATGTATTACTCTGATGAATGGATATGAAGGGTTAACATTTGCTGTAGCCTAAAGATCAATTGGGGCATGGGCATGGGATATTCACCAAATTTAATGCAGTCACTCCCCTCAAATACGTGTGGGGCAGAGTCAAGTTTGATAGTATGATCACCCCCTCCGAACTTCTAATATGTAGAGGTCCTGCCCATCAGCCATGCTGGTGGGTAGCCATCATAGCTGCCATAGCATTCAATCCTAGCTATTGCTTTGGTGCCTACACGGCTAAGCTCACATGACCATGAAGCACTGGCCTCTTTGCGTGTGGCCAAACTAAGGCAGGCGAAGAGTACAGCCCGCACCGGTGGCTTCCTTAGGAAGATCTGCATGATTCGATGATGTTCATGTCAGGAGGCTAGGATGATCCTCAATCCTTTCCCACAATAGAAGCACCTGAACCAATTGATTCTTTTCATTCTCCATGGAGGGTTCTTGAAGTCGAGAACCGGTGTGGCCGACGCTGAGACTGGTTGTTGGAGATGGCAACCAAAGGCGGAAAAGCCCAGACCCCAAGTGGGCGGAGCAGCGGCGCTCATGGGGTCTGGAGGAGGGTATGCTGAACAGGTATGTAACACATGCAGAATTCGCTTCATGACCCTGGGTGTGCCTCGAGAATTTTAGAGGTGAACTCCTGTTTGTCGTTTCAAGCCTTTGAAGACTGTGCGACACTTTTTCCAAGCCTTGGGGTGATGGATCTTATGGACGCCATATTAACCTAGAAATGTCTCCAACAGTCTATGTTTTGCTTATCTAGATCATATTTATCATCAACTGATATACCTGGAAATGGTCTTGTCATCTATCCAATCCAGACTTCAGAACGTCCCCACTGTTTTTCTGAAACCGGAGCCGTTGTGTCAGCGTTGTGAACTCGCCGTTCCCATCACGGGTCGGGGACGCCGTTTTCGGTCGACCGGAAGGTCCAAACGGGTGACGCTTTGGACCCGAGGATCTACACCAACATGAAGGTGCAGCTCTTCGTCGCGGCATTGATTGCAGGGAACTTCCTGCTCCTCGTCGAAGAGAGACGAGACCAGCAGGGAAGGGGAAGTGGAGGACAAACGCTGTATATAGAGCTTGAGCGAGCAAAGAGGAGATCTCTCGTGGGTTGTTTTTTTTTTTTGAAAGAAAGAGGATCTGCCAGGACGGTCTTGAAGAGCAAGGTGGGCCATGGATCAAATACACGGTACCATGCAACATTTCCTTTTGGTACATGGAAGACATGACATGAACCTGCGAGTTCCTGCAGTCTGACTATTTACTATTATAATGATATTACAGGATTTGTGCCATATCCATAGATGATGTAAATATGCCTAAATGATCCAATGGCAAATGAGAGCTGCCCCTTCGTCCAGGGCGGGGAACACATCAAAAAACCATGTTCTCAGACGTGGCCCCAGACACGCCGACCAGCTGCTGTTTCTAGCTGCCACCTGAGGTGTAACATCATCGAGAAATGGATCGACCCAGTCGGAACAGAGTCGAGCCATCCCAGTTTTCCGCGAGACGGAGACGCGAACCGAGAACCGAGTCGAGATTGGGGACGTTTCCAACTGGGTCACCCGTTTTCTCGAGGATCTTGACATTTTGCCACAAATCCATTTAGAGTCCGAGGAAGCAAGAGAAATCACAAATGAGATTCTAGCTCAAGGAATCTTGTGCGAAGTCTTTCAACGCGCGAAGTGACTGGACGGTGAGGTATCCAAGCCTCTTCTATGGCTTTGAGACCTTCTTCAACACGATGTTCTTCTTCGAATTGTTGGTCAACATGTACGCCTTTTGGTGCTGCCGCTTCTGGAAGTCGGGTCGTCGCCCGAGCCGAGGGTCTGACAGAGAGCTGCCTCGGCCTTTGCTTGCGGTGTGTGCATGTGTCGGGTCGCTTGCGGTAAGCTGGGCAGCGCCGCCGCAGTGGGCAGTGGCGTTGAGGCTGGAACATCTTCGATTTTGTGGTGGTGGCCATTGGCATTCTCTCGGTTCTCAGAGCTCCTTGGCACGGATTTCAGGCTAACAAGAGGCTCCTTGGAAGCCAGGGTTGCCTCACACACCTCTGGGACGTCTGGAGAGTGGTACGAGATTCGATCACACACGGAGGGATGGTTCCCTTCCCTCCAACAAACATGGAAGCTGAGCAGGAGCTCCTTATAGAGGAAAAAGGTCTTTCAGGGGCCATGCATATACCATACCTTAGAACATTATTTGGAGGTGAGAGTCACTTAGTGAAATAACTTTTTCCAAACAATCAACTAAACGTTTTATTTGGCAAGCCATGTAGGTGGTGGTACCAGAATAATTTTCACCAAAACAGTCTAGGTGGTGCAACATATTTATATTTTCATGATCTGTTCAGGGATGGTTCCCGTATTCAGACGCCGAGGTGGAACTCCCTGGACCGCTGAGCATGCTACGCATGATGCGAGCGCCGCTGACCTCGGCGTGTTGGTGTGTGTATGCGCGTGGCTTTTGGACGACGTTGGGTGCTGAAGTAGGTCAAATCGAGTGTCTTATTGAGCCGGGTCAGTTTCCTTGTTTCTTTGTATAACCCCCCATCGAAGAGAAGTACTGATGTCCAAGACACGTACTGATTTGTTGCTGCATTCGGAGCCTCAAAGGGACTGTGCCAGACACCGCCGGCCTGCGGGTTCTCGACATGCTTTCGCGAATGACGCGATCGCTGAGGTTTCGCGTTTTTCGACTTTTCAAGAGAGCTCGGCACCTGAGTCTGAGTGGGCGACTGGACATGGGAACCATGATGAAGCATGTCTTAGATGGCGACGGGCTGAAGGACATGAGTTTTACAACTTGTTTTCTTTTCCGGCTGGTCTCGGTATCAGTGTTTGGGCTCCGTGTGCTTGAATCGCAGCCAAGTGAAGCACACCGAGCCCAAACACTGATACCGAGACCAGCCGGAAAAGAAAACAAGTTGTAAAACTCATGTCCTTCAGCCCGAATTGAATCACCGGAAGCAATTGGAATCTCAAGGAGTGATGCCCTCTTTCCACCCAAAAAGGATCACTGGGAGCCCCGGAAGTTGTTGAGCTTGCTCTGCAAGGGACTTTGGAAAAGCCATAAGTTACGTGCTGGTCTAGGTGGCACTTGCTCTTTTGAGGTCAAGTCGCTGAACAAGATCATGGTTTCTTTAGCGAAGGTGCGGCCTGGAGAGCAAGATCAATGCCACCAATGCACATACATGGACAATCACCATAGGTGTACTTTGTCTTGTATATAATAAAGATATAAATATATATATATATCTATATGTATATAGAACAAATTATCTTCTTCTGCATCATCTCTGCAGACGTTTCCAAATCCTGCAGCACTCGTCCTTTTTCTGAGCACCATCACTTTTGGGCTCCGGAAGTTTGGGCTCAAGGCTCAAGATGGCCACAGCATTTGCCATGCACCATGCTCAAACCTTCCCTTCGGTAGTGCCACCCTTAGGTGTGCACACGGATTTGTCGCCCGCGCGCCTTCCCTCGAGTCCGCCTGCGGCCGTGCTGCCGGCGGCGGCGCTGTCTGCGGCTTCTGCGGGTGCACTGCCGACAGCATGGCCCACTCCACGAGGTGAGTTTACACCAACTCCAAGCGCATATGGGCCCAGACTCGATCCGATGGTTGCCGGCCCCACTCCGCTGAGCTTCATGCAGCTGCCGGTGCTGGAAGCAAGGGAGGAGCCAACTGGTTGGAAGATGAGCAGGGAAGCAGCCGCTTTAGCACACCGAAGGCTCCATGTACTTCAATGCTTGCGCAGCGAAAGCCTCTTTGCTTTGCGCATTCCTGATGTCTTCCGGGGTCCTTCAGACACTGTTTCGATCTTGAACTTGGATGAAGCTGTGCATTCGAGGCAGGTGGCGCGCACTGCGCATCAGTTGTCTCCAGCTGCCAAAGGACTTGAGCCATGCGATGAGCAGCCTTGGCTGGATGGCGTGCAGCAAAGCTTGACATCGACCTGGCAAAGTTTGATGAGTTCCGTCAATGCGCTCTCTGGCAATTGGTGCATGCATGACGATTTCGAAGGTCCTAGCCGGAGATGGTTGAGAACAATGGCTGGAAGGGGAGATGGGATCGAAGAACCATGGTTTGTCAGGACCCTGCCTCCAGTCCGGCCAGACCTTCCAGGAGGTCAACCAAGCCCTTTCGCTGCAGCTCGGGCACCTTTCCTGAAGGCGAACGCTGCTGATGAGGTGCAAGCGACTGGAGCTTCCAAAGGTCGTGTTCAACAGCCGCTGTCCTTGGGCCAAGCCAAGCAGATCTTGCAGCAAAACAACTCCTTTGTGGTCTCGTTGAAGGGAAACAAATCAACTGCACCAAATCAGGACCGAGCTTCGATTGTCAACTTGGGAACTGTCGAGCTCCTCACCGTGTGTGATGGTCATGGAGAGCTGGGTCATGATGTGGCAGATGCGAGCAGCGAGGTGCTTCCCAAGCTGCTGTTGCAACAGGTGGCCAGAATTGAAGGTAGCATGTCACCAGCAGGAGTTCCAAACAAAGAAGCTCGGAATCCTCAGGAGGCCGCCGCTGCTGTCAGTGACCTGTGGCGTGAGGCAGCGGTTCAAAGCTTTGAGGAGCTTCACAGGCTCATTGAGGCCTCAACAGCCTTGTCTTTAGATGGAAAGTGTAAAGACCTTCCAATGGACGCTCGCTGCAGCGGCACCACAGCAACCATTGCTGCCGTGGTTCGGAACCAGAGGATCCTCGTGGCTCACGTGGGTGATTCACGTGCGGTTCTCGGAATTCAGCCGCTGGGTGGGCCATGGATGGTCAAGGAGCTCACAAGGGACCACAAGCCCGAACTGCCTGATGAAAGAGCTCGCGTTGAGAGAAGTGGAGCGCAAGTCATCACTGTGGGACAGCCACCAAATGTGACTTGCAGGATCTACAGCCACCAGCAGGCTTGGCCATCAATCAACATGTCACGATCCCTTGGGGACCTCCATGCTCATTCGCAGGGCCTTACCTCTGAGGCGGAGGTGACTTGCACTGAGTGCTCTTGGGAAAGCTCCAGCCGGGCAGCTTTAATCCTCGCCTCGGATGGGATTTGGGATGTCCTCGAGAGCCGCACGGCCGTGAATATGGCCTGGCAAGCCTTTCAGAAAGGTGCGGATCCTGCCTCAGCGCTTGCACAAGAGGCCTATGCCCGATGGGAGCGTCGAGGTTTGCAGGCGGGATACACCGATGATATCACAGTCATTGTAAGATTTCTGTCTTCATCTGAGTAAAGAATCCACGGGATTTTCCGAACCTCAGCAGTTTGCTGCCGATCTCCCGATGTTTCACCTCAGAGAGTGCTTGGATGCGCTCCTTCTCAGTCAAGCATCCAGAGTTCAGCCGCTTTTCAGAGCTTTCCTGGCTTTGGATGTTATCGGAGTGCACAGCGTATACAGCGTGATAGCTCGCCAGTCCTAGAGTGTTTAGATGTCTGAAGTGTTTAGACTTCGACAGTGAACTAAAGGTTCACCTCCTCTCGACGCGACGCTTCTCGGCGCATGAAAAGAGGCTTCACACTGATACTGATGGAATCAACAGAATAGGACGTGACAAGTCCACCTAGTAGCTTCTAGCTATATACTAGTAGCTTCTTGTTACCAGTAGTAATGGCCTCCACCCTAATAGCGATGGCCTCCACCTAATAGCGTTGGCTTGCTACTAGTAGCTTCAGTGTCGAGATCGCCTGAAGAGAGTGGGTGCTTCAGGCAGTTCCAGGAGTTGCCAATGCATTCTTCATTTTGCTGCTGGTCATGTCCATCTATGCCGACCCCTCAGGGTCGACAGAGCTGGAGCTGTCGAACGAGCCGGATGTCGGAGTTCGGGTGGTCTGAGGCTATCATAGCAGTGGACCTCTTCAAGGACTTTGGCAAAGGCTTCAAGTTCACCAACATCAAAGGTAAAGAGGTGGAGCTGATTACGAGTCTCACGACCGCAAGAAGCGATCATATGGCGGAGGTATGAAGAGGTAAGAAGAATGAACAGTTCTGAGTTCTGAGTTTTCTGTAGCAGCACTGCTAGATTCTTCTCTGAATGCCAAGGTCGCAAGCAGGAATATGGCTTTGAATATTTTGGCAACTTCGGCAAATCGCTGTACACCATGTTCCAGGCCGGCTGCTTCGTGTGCTTCCGGCTTCTGGCAGTAGAAAAGGGATGAACCGGGATGAATACATTTTTCGGCTCAACCATGGGCGCACTGCAACCCTAACATTTTCAAGTTTTTTGAGGGTGTCCTATTACCTGTAACAGTCAGTAAACAGTTATCACTATTTTGAGAAATGCTTTTACTAATCATCATGAATCATGGTTCACTGTGACAGGGAATGGGATATGTATATATACATATACATATCATATAACTATATACAACTAATATGGGTTATTAGTAGAGGAACATTAATGATTGATCACCGCGTGGAATCCTGTTTTTGTTGAGCAATTGATTGGTTTTGAAGATTGGCAAGCCGCTATGTCCTCACAGTCACCACGTGTGGTCAGCGCTGCTGGGCTCGGAGCTTCAAAGATCTATTTGGGACTAGTATAGTATCACGACGTACCCTTGGTTGAATCATACGAGAATCGCGACCGTTTCCTTGATAGCGCACTCTTTTGGGTCTATCATTATTTCACCATTCCGGGAGGCCATCGGCCTTCGGTTTTTGGTGGGGTCGCTGGGTCCTGACTGTTCCAGGTCCTGACTTGTGAATCCTGGTCAGAAGCTATCGCTCGACCTTTGCTACACTGTGGCGCCCTCAGCGCACCATTCGCGTGCGGAGAACTCAGCGCACCATCCTTTCTCGTCTTCGGAATGGGAATGCCGGGGTTTGGAGCCCGTTTGCTGCCAGCAAAGTTTATGGGGCATGCAGCATACAAGCTGACCCTCCGGTGAAAGGAGACGAATTAGGTCATTAGGTCTGGCAAACCTGTGACTGATATCAGAAAGCCTTTGATCAGACAGTTTCATTGCTTTCCTGCAGGCTAACAGTTTGATCAATCAAGACCCCCACACATACACATTACCTCAACATAATATATGCTTCGCAAACTCTGCGAACATCCATGCATTCGGCCATACATAGCTTCAAAGAGTGTCTGTGTTTGCTGGTGAAGTGTGGCAGTGCTGTTCAATGCATCGCCTGTAAGACTTGGGGGCAATCTTTTCCACTCCATTATCAGACTCACACGCATCTTCGCTTTCCGTGTTTGCACCAAATTCCACCCCTCCCGGAATTCCACCAGATATCTAGATATTCTAGATGTGCTGTTTGGTGAGTCAGCGCTCATTGGAATGTCTTGGAAGCCGTGGCACCGAAACGGCGTTGTTTTCGTCGTTTTCACCAAAGACCTTCGTCGCTGCCAATGCCCGAACGTTCCACGTGTCATGACGTCTTCTCACGGCGCTCCGTGGAGTGTCCATTGGCGGCAGGCAACAGTGTGGCGGAAGCCTTTGGCGTCGCGTTCTTTTTCGTCTCCTTTATCATTGTGCATCCTGCCTGACTTCATGAAGTGCAGCCTTTTTCGGAAGGAACGGTTCATGAACGAAGCAGGAAGGGAGAGACTGATTTTCGGGACTTTTTAAGCGGAAAAGTTAATGTTGGATGTCGCCAGGTGAACGCCATCGTGCTGATCAATGTGGTGGTTGCAGTTCTCCTGGAGAAGATGGTGCTTCTGACCTGCTTTGGTTGCTTACCTGTGATGTATTTTACGCCAGAGAACCCCCCCGGCAAACAATTAATATCTGAACTCTGAACCCCTGATATGGTCCAAACATCGTGCTGTCGTGCTTGATGTCAGGTGGATGACACAGAGAAGAAGGCCAAACCCTTGACGCCCCGCTTCCGGCAAGCCGCCGAAACTGATCAAGAGCTGGTCTTGATGTGACAAGGGTTGAACCCAAAGAGGGCGCTCCCTCACGTTTTTTTCCTCACTTGTTCCATCAATTTAAACACTGCCTTGCCTGAACGAGGAATCGGATAAAACCACCTGAAATAGGGACCCACTGCCTTCTTACGGTCTTTTGGTGGTGATGATTGTTGCTTTTGTTTTGTCTTCAGATTTCTTACGGAGCTCCTTCCTTTCAGCCAAGAATGGTGTCCCAGGCGGATACTCAAGAGGAGGAACCGATGGAGGACGATGAAGTAGAACGCCTTGGGACGCAGGCTGGAACCGATGTCTCAACAACAGCCCTTCCCAATTTCGTTTGAGCAATTTGAGGTGGGGATGATGCCGGGGCTTGTGATCTTTTTCTACAACAATACTATTACAACTACAACTAACGCCCGATCTAGATGTTACTCTTCGATCCCTCCACCTAGAAGGAGCAGAACGGCAGAACAAGTTGAGCTTTCGTGTGTGAAGATGTGGCGAAGCAGAGGGGTTTCATTCGCCAGACAACATGATGAAGATATAACCTGAGACGTTTCCATTTTTGCAGGAGCTTGAGGATATTGCAGGCTTCGCTGCTGCCCAACCCATGTGGCAACAGCTTTGGCCTCGGTGTTCGCACGGGGAACGTTCTTCACCGCTGCACGTGGGAGGTCCCGAGCCGGACAGCTGTGAAGATGTTTCTCGCCTGAGGCCCAATTCCGTGCAAGAATTGCCAGCGCCAGCCCCGGTGAAAAGCGGGAGGAGAAGTGCCAGAGTTCTGGGTCGAAGATTGGAACGACGATTTGATGCCCGATGTTCTGGGCCAAAACGAAGATTGGAAGAAGGATGAACTGCCAAATGGACGCCTCGAGTGGCGGGCTTCGCCGGTCCCGTCGGTCCTCCGCGTTCGCTGCGAGGTGCGGAAGAGCGAAACGGGTGGAGCGGTCTCCGGAGCAGCGCGCGGATCGAAGGACGGGACGGGGACCTGTTTACACGTCGGAGAGTCATTTGGGTGTTTCAGACAGGGTCTGGAAGGAAACAAGCAGCCAGCGGTGAGGTTCGAAGGCTTTTTTTGTTCCTGAAGAAAATTGACTCTGTGCTTGCGCAGGATGGACTCTCAGCCTCTGTGAGGGTCGCCAACCTTAGAGCGGCCCAGTCGCAACGTGAGATCAAAACCAAGAAACTAGATGTATAATGCAAATGTGAGTTGTTTGGGATGATTCATGAGGATTCTGTCATGGAGCTGTTGGCCTCTTTGCTTGTTTAAGCTTACCCCTTGTGGGTTTCATAGAGAAGACCTCACAACGTATACCGATCGCATCCGGAGCATCCGAAGACGTCTCTGGCACCCACCGCATCCAACCGCACGGTCTCTATGCGATGACCGCCCTGTCTCGTACAGAGCGGTGGTGAATTTCCAGTGGCGAATCAAACCTGCAATTTAGTGTACTCGGCCCCGAACCAGAAAAGCCATGTGCTCTGGGTGAATCATGTGCTCTTCTTAACGGGACGTTTTTGGCAGACGTTCATATATATATAAAAAAATATATCATTTTGATTTACTGTATATAGTAGGGAACAACTCTGGATTCATTCAACGTCGCTGGAGTCTGGAGGCTGACCTGGACGCCATGAAGGAAGACATGGCTGTCATTCAGGACTGGCAAGGTCTTTTTGGGATCCTGTGCCTCCAGGTTTTGCAGATAGTCGGCTGGCCCTTTTTGACCGATTCTAGCTGCAAGACCCTTGTTCCTTCAAAGATGGCCTTGTTTATCAGAGCACCAAAAGGGGTCGGACCCAAACTCAATGTCGATGTGACAAATATGGATCGCAAGGATACTGCTTTTGGTTCCGTGTCCATTCATCCACTCGACGGGATCCTTTTTGAGAGACACAGCCTGGCCTAACCTCCGCATCGCCCTTTGAAGGTTCATGCTTGAAAGATCCTTCTCAAGGCCTCATGGATGACACCGCGGGGAAAAACGCTCCTTCAGGAAAGCTTGACGGTGGTGCTGAGCCTGCTGAGTGTGAAATCCGCCCGGTGCCGAGCCGCTCCCGCGGCGGTGGACGGCGGCTTTCGATCGATGGCTGGACACCGACCGCCAACGACCTCCGACCGGCGACGGGCGCCGAGGAGGGGCCCAAGAACGGAGAGAAGTCCACTGGAAACTCGCCCATGAAGCTTGATCGCATGGGCGGGATGGGCGTTTTTCTTTATTTTTTTGGATGTACACTGACCCCTTGATATGGTCGAAGGTCTAGCTGTTTATAGATGTCTTACTGTTTTCTGCAGTTTTCTTCCATCAACTGTGGGGGGTCTGGCTGGGGTGGCATCCCAAAGCTGCCCTGCCGTCTCTGACTCTGCCTGCCGTCGCGTGGGCTGATGGCCTGGCAGTCAGAACGCGCTTGGTTGCTTGGTTTGAAGTGCCAGAATTTCAGCTATAGAGCCTAGTGAGTATGTGACAGTATGTCTACGTCAATGTGTACCTCTGCCCCTTGAAGCTGCGTGGGCACTTCGCCGACCGTATTGTCACGTCCGGGTGTCATCGGGGGTCCGCACTCAGGACTGAGCCCCTCCCAGACGACGAGCGAGGCTTCACATGCAAGAAACAACATACTATATATATGTATATATATAGATATATGTATTAGTATCTGTTTATTTTTGTACAAGAAAGTTCTCGAACGCTTGAACCGCTTCATATTGCTTGCTAGTCTTTTCCAAGAGGTATGGAAGATGCTTTTCCTGTAGGGTGGGAGAGGTTGGGAGAGTATCAGTCCTTTGGATGTTTTCTGAGATTTGACCTTTTCTGCAAGCTCTGCCAATGCCAGGTCCACGGCATACTGCATTTTTTGACTCTGATCGAGGACGAACGCTGCAAGCCTGAAATGAGACCAGTCATCCCATGATTTGTTCAGCTGGTAAGATGGCTTTTGGAGAATGTCATTGACAATCCTGCCTCACCACTGTTATTAGAGTATAACGTATACTAGTACCTCAGGTCAACACTTAAACAAGTGGCCTAGACAAATCCAAATCTCCAGGCTACTGAGTCAACCGCTGGACTCAACCGAGTCCTGCTTTCACCAAGGCAACCTTCCACCTTCCTGCCAGGGTCGATGCGATAAGATTTTTCCGGATACTATAGACCGAGCTCACCTTTTCTGCAGTGCAGATCTGGAGAGGGGGAGAAGGCCTGGCTGCATGAAGATTGGCAGCTGGAGATTGGCTGCATTCGCAGCTGGAGATGGCCTGGCTTAAAGTATCTCAAATGCCGAAGCTTCAGCTGGTTTGGAAATGGACACTATTTGAAAGATCTGCACTGCATGGTGGAGTCGTTTTGAATCACATCTCAGGCCATTCTGGCCTCAACATTACTGAAACATCCAACAACTACTCAAGGCCCCCAGCTGCATCACTAGGGCTACGTGTCATCATGTTCATAATTTTCTTCCTGAGTCGGAGCACCGCATCTTTGCTTGAAAGAAAAGCGTTTCACTTGTGACTCAAAGAGTTTCACCAGTAGCAAAGTCAGGCGAGAAATCGGACCAGTATTATTGGTGTTGACTGCAGATGACGGAAGAATAGTTGAGTGGTAAGAAGTGGAAGAGGGTAGGCTGAGGCAGCTGCTCGTATGTCCCAATGTTGTTCTTGACTGCTTGCCACACCAATCTGATTATTTTCAGGCCAATGCTCTGCATGATGGTAGCCTTCGGTGTTTGACATGAGGCTTTTTGGCAGTCCATGAACGACTGCGAGCGTCCCACACCAGGCAAGACGGTTGAACTCGAAGAGTTTCAGCTGGCTTGCGTGGACACGTACCCCTCCGCACGCTTTTGGGGATTCATGGGTGAAAAATGGGTACCCACAACACAACGCTGAGCATCCAAATCCGCTGCTTTGACAAAAGCCCCGGAAACGCCCGACTTGGACGTCCGACTTTGATGAGTGGTGCATCCCAGAGTGGTGCATCGCTGAGCGCTTAGCTCGTAGAGCGAAGTTCGACCATGTCCCCCTCCAGGTGTCGATGCTAGGGTCGGCAGTCCTGAGGTTTGCTGCACGCGGTGGGTGGAGATGGACTCGGGAGGCGTAGGATGCAAAAATTGTGGATGCTTGAGGATGCTTGAGGTACTTCCTGGATGGTGGTATCATCGAGTTAAAAGATTAGAGGAGGGGCAAGAGCACGGTTTCAGGTGGTTGAATGGCTGTCCCAAACAATCGGTGCAAAGTATAGGGCCCATCCTGGCCCATGTATTCAGTGGGGAATTCAACCACAAAAGCCCCGCGAAAAAAGCGATGCAATGCATTGCCTTTTGGAAGGAATCCATCCATCTGCTCCCACATGGGTTACCCTCCCCAAACATTCCCCAACCCTGTCGACGCAGATCCAAAGCCTCCATACTCATCACGCCGCTGGGGTCAAGCTGTGATCGGCGAAGGTGTGATGGTCATTGAAACCTCCAAGCGAAAAGACACACGATTTTCTTCGGGGGACATCAATCAAACAGACAGCACTTTTCATCTGCTGGATAGGAAGTCATATTCAACTAGATCATTTATCTTATGGATCTTTGGGCTACTTGGATCTTGGCATTCCAGATGAGGTTCAACGAGCAGCGAGCAATCCTTAGACGAGACAGACTTGAGAGTTGTTCCGATTTTGTTGGGCTGCTACATGCTCCTATATTTCTAGCACGGTGCGACCACAACCGATGGTGCTGAAGGCCAGACTGATGGTCGTTCCGTGCCAACGATGTGGTAATCTTGCGATGCAGCTACAAGGGTCTTTGGGGAGACGGGCAATGTTTGATCTGATTGCACTAGATGCTGCTTCTGAAGCAACTCAAGAGGTGTCATTCTCGAGGACAATCAGGGTGGCTCCTGGCTTGTGGTCCTTGCGGACCTCTCTTTGGGTAGTAGACCAGCCACCAACCATGAACTTCTCTATACTCTATACATACTGTATACAGGTTTATTCATACACAATATAGCTATCTATCTATCTAAATCTATCTAGATAGATCTATCTAAATCTATCTAAATCTATCTAAATCTATCTAAATCTATCTGTCTATCTATCTATCTATCTATCTATCTATCTATCTATATCTCTATATCTCTATATCTCTATATCTCTATATCATATCTCTATCTCGATCTCGATCTCTACCTCTACCTCTATCTCTATCTCTATCTCTCTCTCTCTCTGTATAAGATATATCTACGTCGACACACACACACATATATATACATATCGATATCTATATCTGTGTATATATAGTTATATAATATGTATACATATAAAAACCCTTTGTGGGATACCGTTTCTCAGCCTCTCAAGGCCTCTGGGCCAACAGCCTCGGCCATTGCAGCGACTGCGGCAGCCGCTGTGCGGGCGGCGCAGACGCAGCACCTCGTTCGAGCGAAAGTTTGACAACGGGACGACGGGAACGTTTGTGAAAAGAGAGACTCAGAGGTCCAACTCACGTTCAGCTGCAAAGTCCTGGGTTGCTTAGACTAAGGGAACAGCCTGGGTTGTTGGAGTTTGATCCTGCTTGGACTAGGGGAACAGCCTGGGTTGTTGGAAATGT